GTTTCTTCTTTTGAGAAATATCTAATCAGATAATGTGTGCATTTTTTTCATTGAGCTCTTTGTTTGCTTATATTTATTTGCAGTGTTCTTACTTTCAAAGTATTCAGTAGTTTGAGTTTCTAACATATTTTGGATGTTATCTCTTATCACATGTTTTGTTTTTGAATATTTTTCTCATTGTGTAGTTTGCCTCTTCATTCTATTGATTGTTTCCTCTCTTGTTCGGCTTTCTAACTTGATGCATTCTCAGTTTTCATTTTTGAGTTTTGTTGCCTTGCTTTGAAGTTCATATACAAAACACAATTGCCCAGCCAATGTCAGAGAGTGTTACTTCTGTTTTTGTTTTGGTACTTTTAGAATTTCAGGTCCTAGGCTAATCTTTATATACATGGTGTGACATATGGATATAATTTCATTTCTTTGTATATGTATCCAGTTATACCAACACCATTTTTGATCAGATTATTTTTTTCACTATGTATATTCTTGGCACACTTGTTAAAAATTAGTTGACTGTAAATGTGTTGATTTATTTCTGGGTTCTCAATTCAGTTCCTTTGTTTTATGTGTCTTTTGTGCTAGTATATGCTGTTTTAATAACTAGGGCTTTGTAATGTACTTTGAAGTTATGTATGGTGATGCCCTAAACTTTGTAATTTTTCTCAAAATCGCTACATAGTTCCATATGAATTTCAGGATTGTTTTTATTCCTATAGAATTTTGATAAGGATTGCATTAAATGTATAGATCACTTTAGGTAGTCTGGATAATTTCTTCCTTTCCTACTTGGGTGCCTTTTATTCCTTCTCTTGTCTTATTGATCTGGCTAATAATTCAAGAATGACATTTAACAGAGTGGAGACAGTGGATACCCTTATCTTAATCCTGATTTTAGATAAAATAATTTTAGTTTTCCCCATTTAGTAAAATTTTGGCTGTAGGTCTCTTGTATATACCCTTTATTATATTGATGTATGCCCATTCTATTCCTACTTTTTTTCTGTAGTTTTGTCATGAATGGATGTTGAATTTTTTCAAAGGCTCTTTCTGTATCTATTGAGATTATCATGTGATATTTGTCCTTGATTTTATTTATGTACTGTACTGCACATATTGCTTTGCATATGTTGAACCATCCTTGTATTTCTAGAAGAAAACTAACTTGAATATGATGTTTGATCTTTCTGATGTGCTATTGATATTTTATTTTATTTTTTTAAGATAAATAAATGGTTGTTTTTATTTATTTATTTATTTTTTCCTTTTTCTTTTGTTATTCATATGTGCATACAAGGCTTGGTTCATTTCTCCCCCTGCCCCCACCCCTCCCTTACCACCCACTCCGCCCCCTCCCTCTCCTCCCCCAATACCCAGCAGAAACTATTTTGCTCTTATTTCTAATTTTGTTGTAGAGAGAGTATAAGCAATAACAGGAAGGGACAAGGGTTTTTGCTGGTTGAGATAAGGATAGCTATACAGGGCATTGACTCACATTGATTTCCTGTGCGTGGGTGTTACCTTCTAGGTTAATTCTTTTTGATCTAACCTTTTCTCTAGTTCCTGTTCCCCTTTTCCTGTTGGCCTCAGTTGCTTTAAGGTATCTGCTTTAGTTTCTCTGCGTTAAGGGCAACAAATGCTAGCTAGTTTTTAGGTGTCTTACCTATCCTCACCCCTCCCTTGTGTGCTCTCGCTTTTATCATGTGCTCATAGTCCAATCCAATTGTTGTGTTTGCCCTTGATCTAATGTCCACATATGAGGGAGAACATATGATTTTTGGTCTTTTGGGCCAGGCTAACCTCCTGATGTGCTACTGATATTTTATTAAGAAATTTTGCGTCTGTATTCATCAAAGATATTGGTCTACAGTTTCTTTTTTATTGTGTCCATGTCTGTTTTTTCTATCAAGGAAAACTTGGCTCTATAAATTAGTTTAGTAGTGTTTCTTCCTTTTCTAGGAACATGAATTTTAGGAGCATGAGTGTTATATCTTCTTTAAATGTATGGTAGAATTATGCAGTAAACTTGTCCCACTATGGGCTCATTTTTTGCTGAAATGTTCTTTATTACTATTTTAATTTTACTGCCCATTATAGATCTGTTTAAGTTGTTTACATCCTCTTGGTTTAAATTCATAAATCATATATATGTGTATAGAAATGTATTTATTTTTTCTACACTTTCCATTTATAGAAATGTAAGTTTAAAAAAATCCCCCAATTATCATATGAATTTCATTGGTATCTGTTGTAATGTACCCTTTTATCTATTGTTTTATTAATTTGGGTCTTCTCTCTTTCTTTTAGTTAGTTTGGCTAATGGTTTGCCAATCTTGTTTACCTTTTCACTCTCTGGGCTTATGTTGTGCTTCTGGTACCATGTTCTTGTCCAACTATGGAGCTGGGGTTGGTGTTCCAGACTGCTTCATGTTTTTTTCTGAGTTGCCATTCTATTTGTTGTCTTTCTTGATTCTGAGACAGCTCCCTCTCTTTTTCTCCTCAGAATATAGTTTCTCTCTTTCTGTCCTTACTCTTAGCAATCACAGAGTCATGCAAAAGGTACTTCTATCTTGCCACCATCTCCTTTCCCTGGCTTATATCTTGAGCAGATCTTGATGATAAAAGTGTTGTATTCATGTGATCTAAATGCCAATGGTTCCTACTCCTATCATGCTATGTTCTCTTGCTATTTGCACCTAGAACCTTATTGTGAGCATCTTTGACCAGCTGATTGATAAAGAAAAACTTGTAAACCTTTTATAGATGGTCCAGAATGATTTTCTGTACTGCCGATAATTACTACAGGATAATTAACTTGTTTTATTAACCTGTCATTCACATTGTAAGACTTCTTACATCTCTGCATATACAAGTCCCTAGGTTCAGTTGCCAGCATCTTGAAAAAAGACACCTAACATCTCTGGATCTCTGGCAAAAATAAGAATAGCTCTGGCTTTCATGCTCCCAGTTAAAATACTACTTATGTAAAAAAGGGTTATATTTGTTGATTATTAATATTCTTCAGTATTTGTTTTGTCATTTCCCAAAAATGTTATCCCATCAGTCAGAGCTCCACAGCAATACTGTTCTCTCTTTCGTAAAGCATTCTTACACACCTCTCAACCATGGTAGCATGGCATTATTCTACCCAATTCAAGCCCTCATATTCATTAAAATAACCAAGCACCCAGAAGACACTACCAGGAGACATTCTGTATGTATCAAAGTTTCTCCATTACTTTTATCTAGATTTACTTAAGGATAATGCGAGGGGACATATTTAAGACTTCTCCTTTTAAGGAAGAAATCATATCTGTCCTATAAGATTGTAGCAGAAAATTTAAAAGGATAAAATACTTTCCAACTCACTCTTAAAAAACCCCCAGCATAATTCTGATAGTAAAACAAAAAATTTTAATAAAACCCAGAATTCACTCTGGATTAAAAATTTTTTTCTGTGAAACTGTGAATAAAAAAGTCCCTTAACCTATGAAAGAGTGCTTATACTATTCACAATAGCCAAGTTAGGAAACATCAGGATGGCCCACTACCGATGAATGGATTAAGAAAATGTGGTATTTATACACAATGGAATTTTACTCAGCCAGAAAGAAGAATGAAATTTTGTCATTCACAACTAAATGTATGGAACTGGAAAACATCATGTTAAGAGAAGTTAGTCAGGCTCAAAGCCAAAAATTGCTTGTTTTCCCTCTTATGCAGATTGTAGACCTAAAACAAATGCAGTAATATTATTGCACACGAGTCACACACTAAGGGGAGAACATGCACAGGAGGAATAGGGAAAGGGAAGGAAATCTAAAACCTGAATGTGGTTAATGTGCTCACTGTAGATGAGTGAATAAAGTAATCTTAAAATGGCAGAGGCCACTGTGGGAAGGGGACTAAGAAGTAGTGAAGAGCTCTGGGAGAGATGAACCAATGTGGGTTTCAATAAACAAATGCATGGAAGCAATGCTAGGAACCTCTCTGTATAGCTATCTTTATCTCAAACTAGCAAAAATGCTATGTCTTTCTTATTACCTATGTTTTCTCTTTAACAAAATTGGAGAAGAGGGCAGAAGAGGGGTGTGGGGCAAGGAGGAGGAGGTGGCACAAACAATTTATATACATGTAAGTAGGTGTAAAAAAGGATAAAATAGAAGAAAGAAGGAAAAATTTAAAAAATAAAAACAGCAGAAAAAATAAAAAATAAATAAAAGAATACTTATGTAGTGTATGGTGGCATTTGCCTGTAATCCCAGCTACTCAAGAGGCTGAGGTGGGAGGATCAAAATGTCAAGTTCAGCCTGAGAAGCTTAGAAAGACTCTGTCTTAAACTAAAATTTCTTAAATGGCTAGAGATTTATCTCAGTAGCAGAAAGTTGTTTACCACTCAGGAGGTCTGGGTCCAATTCTCAATACTGAAAAAAAGAGTACTTATAAAAAAATTACAGTTATCTTCATATTTACTGATCAAAGATTTAATAATTTTCTTATGAGAACAAGAACAAGTCAAGTATGTCTGGCGTAACCACTTCTATTCAGTGATATAGCAAGTACAGTAAGGCAACTAAAATGAATCCATACTAGAATATTAAAAGTATCTTAATTCATTGAACACATGATCATCTGTAAATAAAATCCTGCATCATCTACTGGATGATCATCTACTTTTAAACAAGTTTTGCAAGTTTGCAGAATGCAATGACAATAAAAATCTATTATACTTCTATATACACTCAATCAGCAATTACAAACTAAACAAAGCCCAATTAACAGCACACCAAAATATTAAATACACAGAAATATATGCAAAAATATACAAAATCTGGTTATTGAAACTGCAAAACATTGCTGAAAGAAATTAAAATGGATAAATATAAAGAGATGTACAGAATTCACAACTTTCTTCACAAGAAATAGGTAATTTCACATGTGAAATATAGATCTAATAATATTCCAATCAATATTTGAAGTCAAAATTCTAAAGCTGCATTATGGTTAATGAGAAGATTTCATTATAGCATTTATGAGATTCTCCTAAAAATCAGTAACTGTTTACAAACTCTTTTTATTGCTGCCTTCATCTCTTTATTCCTGAATGTGTAGATGACTGGATTCAGAAAAGGAGTGAGAACTGCATCACAAATAGCAAGAAACTTGTCTATTTGTGAATTGGAGTGTGGCCATGTATAAACAAACAGAGTTGGACCAAAGAACAAAATGACCACAGTGATGTGAGCTGAGAGGGTGGAGAGAGCCTTGGATGAGCCACCTGAAGCGTGCTTCCAAACAGTGAACAGGATGAAGACATAGGAGATGAGAAGTACAAGGAAGGAGCCCACACAGATGAACCCACTGTTAACAGTGACCATGAACTGTAATTTGTAGGTATCTGCACAGGCCAGTCTGAGAAGCCGAGGGAGGTCACAGTAAAAGCTGTCCAGTTCATTTGGGCCACAGAAGGGTAAATTAATCAGAAAGGCCAGCTGGAATAGTGAGTGAATAATGCCAAGGCCCCAGGCAGCAGCTAGAAATAAAATGCACACTTGGGAACTCATGATGGTCAGGTAATGCAGAGGCTTACATATGGCCATGTACCTGTCAAAGGCCATGGCCATGAGCAGCACCATCTCCACACCACCTATGACATGGATGAAGAAGATCTGAGTGACACAGCCTCCAAAGGAGATCACTTTGCGCTTTCTGAAAAGATCACAAATCATCTTGGGGGAGGTGACAGAGCAGGCTCCCAAGTCAATGAAGGAGAGACCGGCCAGCAAGAAGTACATGGGGGAGTGTAAGTGAGGGTCAAAGGTCACAGAAAACACAATGAGGGTGTTTCCAGTCACACTTGCCACATAGAGCACAGAGGAGAACACCAGAACCAGGAGCTGGATTTCCCAAGAGTGCGTGAGTCCCAGAAACACAAACTCAGACACCACTGAGTGATTCCCTCTATCCATTGACCCAGCCAAGTAGGCTGTAGCTAAAGTTATGAGAAGTAAGAAAAATGAGGAGGAAAATGTGATTATGGTCAATATTGTGAAAATTATGATAGTATGTGCTAAAATAAAGTTGCAATGTTTTTATTAAGAATCAGTGTACAATTACCCATTTGTTCAGTTATACAAAAATCAGCATATCATTACAATGTGTGGGCTGCAATAAGATACTCTCAAAATAATGTTCTGTTCTCAAATTGCCAAATTAGACAATACCAAAAGGTTCATAATATCCATGACATTCCTCAGGTACTTAAGCCACCTGTTCCACTGACTACTACTCAATGCCACCATATTCCATGTTGCATTCATGCATATTCTCATAACCTCCTTCCCTCTCCTGATGGCACTCACATTTCTCTGACAGATTGCAGAGATACGAAAAAAATCACTATTAACAGATGGGTCACCATTTGTAATAAGGGGTTTCTGAGACATGATTTCATACTAAATTGTTATAGTTCATACATTAAGACTGAAAAAAGTGTATGAAAATATGTGAGCCGTCATCTGCAGTTGAACAGGGGAAGTATGTGGATTTTCACTTTATAAAAAAAAACCTGTTCTCCGTAATGGTTTCTCATGATCACAGCTATCTGGTGCCTCAGCTTCTCCACAATCTTTCATAATTATGAAGCCCTAATGGCTTCCCACCTTGTAATGACTTCATAAGGATAGTATATCACCTGTCATGCAAGACCTTCACCAGACAAAATTAAATGTATTTTGGGGGAATTTCATCAGAGTTTCTGCTAAGGCAACATGTCTGAAGAGCCCAAAGAGGATGAAGATAGGTCTGTAGTTATCTGTCTACACACATGAAGATACTGAGGACCAGCACTTTTAATAGTTGAGACATTACAGGTTAATTCATCACTGCCTTAGCCTCTACTTGGTGCTAGCTTTTAAATTCATTGGCATTCCATTCTGTGATGTGTTCAATACCTCTTATGTGATAAATTATTCTATATTCAGATACTGGTATTTTATCCTCAAGAGAATTGGGGATTTTATACTTTTAATTTATAATTTTAAAATGAAAGGATCATAACTAGTAAGATACTTTTAAAGTATATGAGATGCACTACTGGTTTTAAATAAAAAATGCCAAATGTGATAGTGGACACTAAGTCCTCTAATGCATGTTTTAGTTTTGTGCGATGTGTGGGGGCGGGCAGAGGCAATGTTTTGTTTCTCTGTGTCATAACAGTACAAACCTAGTCATTTTCCTGTAGTAGAAAGTAGCTCCTAGCCAGATACTGGTGGCACACACCTGTAATCCTATCTACATGGGAAGCAGAAATAAGAGGACTGTAGTTCAAAGCCAGCCCAGGAAAATAGTTGATGAGCCCCTATCTCAAAAACACCCTGCAAAGAAAAGGGCTGGTACAGTGGCTGAAGGTGTAGGCCTTGAGTTCAAGCCCCAGTACTGCACACAAAAAAAAAGAAAGAAACTAGCTCCTGCAAGCCCTTAGTAAAAGTAAATTATTTTAGAAGCTGCTGAAGTACAAATAAAACAGTTCTAGTGATATTCTACACATTTGCAGTTACAGTTGCAGACCTCCTTACACAAAAGGCTATTTGTCTGAAGCTATCTTTCATAAAAGATCCAAAAATGCACAGAGGCACACATTGTGTTCTGACTCCATTTCTTGGTCATCACCACTGGTATGGGTCTCTCTTCTTACAGACAGTGTTGTGACTGCACCATCACTTCCTGATCTAATAGCCCATAGTTTCAATGTGTATATCTTTTTTGATGAGAAAACTATGGCCTGGGGAGCAAAAGCTGCTACAGGTACTGCTTGCTTGAGTAGGGTGCATGGGCAGGGGATCAGGTCTGTGAGGGGGAGCTGGAAATTCCAGTCATTGTTGAAAGTAGATCTAAGGCCTTGGTCAAGAAACATGTATCCCCAGTGTGATTAGATGAAAGTATTCATGGGTAAATAGACTTTGTTTTCCAAGTTGATTACTATTCATATGAAAAACATGAGACCCAGAGAGAAAACTGAATCTCCAAAACTCACACAATTAGCCAAATGGGAATGAGGCCAATTCCAGAATGGTAAACCATAATAAAGTAAAACGAACAAATAATCAAGTAGAAACATCAAAACTTTGTTTTTGTTCATAACTACCAACACTAACAAAAGACATCATACAAAGTATCCAATATTAATATTAAATTGTATAGCAACTTAACAGAAAATGAATATTACATTAAATGTTTGTGTACTTTAAAATCGTTTATCTGTACAACAGTAAATTAATTTGTGAAAGTGATTGTTCATTGCTACCATGATTTGTATACTAATTATCCATATCTTTTGGTTACATGATCATTCACTAAAACTCTTAAACTCTTAAAATCATGTTTCTAAGGAGTCCATCCTTTGTGTCTTCCTAAGTTTTAATAACTTCAAGAGTCAATTAAAATAACTGTGACTTCTTATACATTTACTGATGACTCTCATTCTTAATGATTAGCTCTTTATCTGACTCTTATAAATCAAAAACCAAGGAAACAGTTGAAAAAGTCATAAATGATGCACATAGCAAGTGCAATCTAATATGAGAATAATACATGTCAAATGAATAACATGATCAATATTTGGTGAGATTTGGGAGAAAGTACAACAGGCATTCAGAGACAGAAGATAGGGGTGCATCAAGAGCAGGTAAGGACGGTTATGCCAGGCACAAAACCATTTGGTCTGACTTTTTAAGAATTAGTGAGAAATAAATAAAAGAAGGAGGAGATATAACATGTGTGGAAGTCATCTTGACTCATACAATTTGAAAAGATCTTGGGATAGTAAATATAATTATTTCAGTGTATATAACTGATTTATGCACCCAGGTACATGTAAAAACTAAAAAGATAGTTCTTGATTAATAACTCCACTATGTAAGGAAGAATATGCCTTCAATTCAGTGACATTTTTATTCCTGGTTCCATCCTATACATCATATTATGCAATATGTTCAATATGCATAAGAAAATGTTTCATTTAATAACTTATAGCAGTCATGACTAATGATCTCCCAATGAGACCATCCAATATATTTCTTGCTGGGGATAAGATTGCACTTAATTCCCAAACCTACAGCCAGAATTCAACATATTTAAGGCTGTGAAGTAATTTGAGTGCAGTAGGGATAAAAGGAACATAATTAAGATTATAAATATGAAAGGTGAGGAAATGAGGAAAGATATGCCAATGATAAAGAAAACATGGGATAAAGGGGCCTACACAGAAAAGAGAAGAGCTGAACAATATTCTGGAAGTATTGCATACGGTAGTCTTGGTTTTTTGAGACACAGGGTCGTGAAAGACAACGCGAATAAGATCAACCTCTCTCACCTTTAATGCACTGACTCAGGACTGTTGACTTTGACATACTGAGTTATATTTAAACGAAGGAGAAAAGAGGCAGATGTTTCTACTTCCTGTCCCTGTTTGACTCAGAGAGTCTGTAAAATTACTGTCTGCAAATAAATGTGAAGACTGCCTTTAAATTGTGCAATATTATGTAACATGTAATCACTGTAAAAAGTATAACTTTTATTTTTGACTTGAGAAGCCTAGCATACACTGGTCAGGAGAAAGATAAGCGACAATGAATCCTCCCCAGTGTGTGTTTTCCTTGAACTTGTTACCACTCCAAGAGGGCTCTCTGTCCAGTCAGCTTTGGCTACTGATGGCCACTACAGTCATTTCCAAAGGCTGTGGACTCCTCACATACCTGTAAGCTGATGCTCAGAAGTCCAGAAACCATTTCCTGAATTTCATCTACCTTCCTTCAATCCTAAAAATAAAAAGATTCAGATTGGATTTCATATATTGTAGTAGAAATTTAATACTTGGGGTTGAGACCTGCCAGGATGTTTTTTTTTCTAATCTAGTTTCCATCACTCCCTTGCTACATGGCCATAAAAAAAGTTGAGAGACCTCTACAAACATTTCATTGTTAAAATGGAAGATCCTGCCTCCCTTGCAAAATCTAAGAAATAAATGATATATGTAAGCATGAAACTCAGTATATATCACAATATATGGCAAATGATATATAGATACAAATTACCAATTTACACACCTATACGTGTGTATGACTATGTTCGTAAGTTACTTTCAAGTATACGAAAATTATTATTCCTCAAATTTGATTTCTCTAATCTTCACTATTCTAAGTTTTGAACTAGAACTAGTTTTAGGTGAGACTTTTATATCTACACCTTCTTCTAATAACTTAAGAATATTTCCCCAAAAACAATTTTGCTCCTAGGTATAGACACTAATCAAAGATGGTCTAAGGAATACAGGAAGAAGACTGGTGCTGAGACCAGGCTGTATCCCTTCCACAATGATAAGCTTCCCAATTTTAAAGCCATGAAATTATTTTCCTCACCTGAAAAGAAGATATCTTTTATAACTGGTTAGAACATTGGATATTTTTGTCATTAGGAATGACACAAGATGCCTAAAGATTTCTGAAGTCTTTACTGATCCAATGTAAACTTTTCCATTGCCTTCCAAAGCAAGAAAGCCAAATTATACATACGTGACGCTCGAAAAACGCCTTCTTCCCAAGCTGCTTTCTTTCTTAAAATTTCTTTTATTCCTATCCAAACTGCTTTCGTTATGACTAGAGTTCTTCAATTTTAACCTCAAGTCAAATTTCACAAGTCAGAGGTTAATTTATGTATAT